CCTTTATTAATTGAATGAGCCCAACGACGTAGCTGACTAATAGATGATACTTTTTTGAATCTGTTTTGCACTGTTTTGAGACTTAAATTTTGCTTCGTTCTGCTACTTCTCCAAAAATCTACAGCTCTTTTTTTGTATTCAAAATCTAGTTCTTCATTATATGCTGTACATTGATTTGTTGGTGCTATCCGGATCAGGAAAATGATGTTGCATTTCATCTTCAATTATTTCCGCATTATAGTCTTTATACTCTTCTTGAAAATCCAAGGAGTCATCAGTAATCTACATCGTTGAAATCATGTGTTGCATCTATTAAAATTTCTTTAACGTTTAACGGATTAATTTTCATTTATCAATCTGAACTAAAAACAAGCGATAAAATTTATACAAGCTGTGTTTTTGCATGTAAGGCACGACTGCTACATTTCTACCAGAATAGAACGAGTGAATGTAAATTGAATCAAATCATTAATTTATGCATTGGAGAAGAATTCTCGTTCCACTTTGTGATGTTCGGGAAACTCTATTTTTGGTTCACTTTATAGACGCCGAAAATGGTAGATTTTATTCACATGTTACAAAAAAACTCTTTGAGTTTGTTAAAAAACTTTATTACATACATGTACCATGGTTACATACATGTTGAAAATATCTTTTTGCCCTGCGTCCACCGAAAGTATGCTGTTATATGCATGTAAATCGGGCGGAAAATGACACTTTACCGCTCAAGGGCGGAGGAATGAGCCCTTGAGCGGAAGATAAACTGACGGGCGAAAAAGTGGAGAAAAGGAAAAAAATTCCGACGTAGGGCTTACATTCCATCCTAGGGCTCTCTTTTCCGCTCTAGAGCGGAAAATAGTGCTATAATTTCCACTCGCATTTACATGTATGTAATAACACACTTACGGTGCAAATTAGACAAAAAATGTGGTGTGCATAATGGGTGGAAAAAAGACGATTATAATGAGCTTCACTTAGCTAGGGTGACAACTTTCACACTCGTCTGTAATCGCCTTCTTTCCGCCCTTAATTCGTAAAAAATTGTAAATTAAGGGAATTATAGCCATGTTAAGGAAACCTGTCTTTTTCAGAGTTGTTTTTCGGTGATCAAGATATCTTGAAAATCGTAAAATCAATTATCTTAAAATTTTACTTCCTCCTAGAAGAAGTTTTGTAATAGTAAAATTTTCAGCTTCATAAAAGAACTTCGTTTGAAGTTCAAAAAACGTGTTTTTAGAAAATGTCCGTATGGATGTGTGTGTGTGTGCGTACCATTGTTGAACTGTCCATCGGATATCGATAAAATTTGGTATCCACTTTTGTTTTTCTATCCTAAATGCGTGAAAGGAATCCATTTTTATTTTATCAACACGTTTTTGATTTATAGTGAATTTTCGATTTTTTAAAAACGGTTTTTCCATTCTTCAGATGAAAAAAATTAAGATATTTAAATCGTACAAATTGTTTTTGAAAGAATACAAAATACTTATGTTTTCCTAAAAGAAAATTTACTTACAATTAGCTTTTCCATAACTTTTTTATTCACAAAAAGGATTATTTTTTAAAACGTTATATCTTTTAAATTAAATCCGACTAGGCCCAAACATTTTCTAAAAATACGTGATTCGACCTCCAAACACTTTCAAACTTACTTCTATGAAGTTTTAACTGAAAATTTTACTATTATAAAGCTTTCTCTGGAAGGAAGGAAAATGAAAAATTGAGTCTTCGAAAAACCACGTTATTTCATAAAAGGGCCGCCATTTACTTTAAAATAATTTTTCGAAAAAGCCTTTTGAACCAACAATTTTCTGTAATAAAATACAGTTTTTAACTTCTTTTTAAAAAATCACCGAAAATCGCGTGTTTTTTCGCTTTGAAAACAGACATGGCACCTTCAGCGAACTCATATTAGTTCAAAATTTATTTTACACTTTAAATAATCATTTTTTAATTGGTTTTTGTTCTGGTGAAAATATAAGGCCTGTTGTGTAGGAGTCGTGCCCAAAATGAATGATAAGTAACTATTACGGTAGTATTCTTACATTCGAAATCGCTAAACAAGAGACTGACTGGTCTAAACATTTATATTTCTGAAGGAAAAAAATTATAAATTTTTTTTCGATACAATAAATTTTCGAAACAAGACGAAACAAAACAGTATCTTTTCTAGACGAGCCTCTTGACAGGTATCTAGTTTAATTTAAAGAAGCAAAAATACAAAAGTTTATTTATTCATTTTATGTAAAAAGTAATAATTACTGAAAAGATGTTCAAAAATTGAATAAAATACTTACCTATTTTTAAAATAATCACTTTTAAACTAATTATTTTATACTTTTAAAATTTATAGAAACTTTTATTCACTTTCAAATTGAATAATGTAAATCTATACAAAATCACTAAAGAAAATTTTCTACAACTGTGTCATTCCACTGACAAAGAAAAAGACGTACTATTCGAACTTTCATGAGTTTGAAGTTTGGAACGTTCAACTTGAACGATAAAAACGAAATTTAGAAAAATGCCTTCTTATCAAAATTAATCGCTGAAATTCAATACAATAATGATAAAAAGCAAAAACAAAACTATTGGAATCACCTACCACCCTCTCAAACTACCCTTAAAAATTAAGACAAGGTCGAATATTGCTATATGTTATTTAGTACAAAAAAATTAATTATTTATAACAATAATTATTTATTCTTATGTAAAATCATGAGTGAAAATTTTGAGCGCTTGGAATTACGCCGAACCACCCCTAATTTCATTTAACCCATTAACGCTCACAGGTCGGTTTTTCGAGACCTGAGTTTGAACTATTCTCATGTCATGAATTCTCGTGGAAAAAATTCAGAAACCATTGTTTCTTATGTTTTCGAGTGTCCTCTTTCCAATGATGCTGGTTAAAATTGTCGCTGAAAAACTTTTACGGTCCAAAAATCAAAAATAAATAAAAAAAACATGATTTTCTGATTTCATTTTTTTTTTAAATCGACTTTTCGTTCCCTAAGCATTTTTTTTAATGCCTAAAACCCTTATAGATCGCGGCTTCGAGGTTTTAACTACAAGTTAGTATGGTTCTCCGGATGTTAAAATTTTTCGTATAAACGAAATGGCGGCCGAAGTGAAAATTATTTATCTAAAACTTTACAAATTTTTTTCTCGAATACTATAGATTTTCATGAAAATTTTCCAAGAACAAAAATATCTTAGAATTAGTTATAAAATACTCTTAAATTTTTTCAGAATCATCCGAGAAAATTTTTGGATTTCGGAAAAGTCTCTGAATTGAGAATTCAAAAATTACGTCGGAAAATTCTGAAAAAATTTGAGAGCGTTCGTTGTTTATTTTTAAGACATTTCTATTCTTAGAAAAATGTTCCTAAAGAGTATACTTTTCGAGAAAAAAAATGTTAAAGTTTACTAAACAAATATTTTGTTTACCAAAAATGAAAACGTCTTCAGCCATTTATATTATCTAAATGTTGCCCAATTCTCACCACAAGGAGGTAGACATTACCGAGAATCTCGTTTTTTTGTTTTTTTTTTAATTTTGTAATTTTTTTTTATTTTTTTAAATTTTTTATGTAATTTTTTTATCATCAGCCATTATGACAAATGAGTTTTATTGAAACATTCGGACACAGAAACATAAATTGCAGCCCTCACAAATCTTGTTACTTCTAACTGCGCATTTTCCTTCATTACGATTTTTCTTTGTTTCATAAGTTTTTAGTGAATGGTACTTCTTTTTCTTTGATAAATATTGTCGACTAATCTCGAGAGCAAATTCTTTTGTACCAACTTTTCGACTATTTTTGTTGCACATGTTGTTCAAAACAGTAGCATTAGTTATGGATGATTGTATCAAGCGTAGGAAAATAACGCGTGTCAACTTTTTTGATTTTATTATCGGAAGGAGTCTGTTGCAATGCTGATCATGTACATCTACGCCCCCTATAAATTTATTATAATAAGTGAAAGCATTTGGATATTGTAAATCGGTTTTTTTCTTCTCAATTTTATCGTAACGTTTAACAGTTGATAGTGGAGTGACACCCGTAGCTGTAGAAAGAAGTGATACAGACTTTGAATCAACAACTGTTATGAAATTCATTTTACTGTCTTTTTCATGTTTCACAACATAAGTACCTTTAGGAGCTTTTTTATCTATATCCTTTTTTTATGCAACTCTGTCACTTCTAACTGTTCCAGTTGCTCTAAGACCAATGTTTTTCATATGAACTAGTAAATCTGGACTTGTGAAGAGGTTATCAAAATAAATATGGTAAAGCCATATCTTTCTAGGTGGAGTACTGATAAGTAATTGTAGCATTCCAAGAACGACCCTACTCCCCTGAGCACAGTTCGGCAAGAAATCGGATGCATTTGATTTCTTTCCGCAGTATATATCACAATCAAATAAGTAGCCATCTGCACTGCATAAAGCCCACATCTTTATCCCAAATCTAATAGGCTTAGATTTTATAAACTGCTTCAGGAAATTTCTTCCAAAATATTTCGCCATCATTTCACCATCATCAGAGCTGTCGAAAAAAATCCAAATTGTCTGATGTTTTTTCTAACAATATTTTGCATCTTCTTACTTGCCACACTTTGTCATTATCGTCCTGATCTTCAGGCATTGAGTATTTTATAGACGATTTTATTTTTTCAAATTCATGCCTCGACATTGCTGATATTACCACTTCTGATTTCAACATAGAATCAGTAGACCAATAGTCTCTTTGAGATAGCCTTCTATTGTAAATGGTGTGTATAATTATGCCAATGAATATGTTCAATTTATCCTCAGTGAAATTATAACCGTTAGCAAGAGTAGAAGATATAATGTACTTTTTACATTCTAATGAAAAAAATAGCTCGAACAGTTCAATAAACGAGTAAGATGACAATTTAGTTTTATCTTTTTCAGAGAGCAGTATTTCATTGGACAAAGTTTCGTTGAAAGGGTGTTCCTTCGGTTCCCATCTATATTAATAATTATTCTCCAACTTTTTCTGTGTTGTAGAATAATTACTCAATACTTTTTCGTAAGATTCATAATGCATAAAACCGTCAACTTCCGAATCACTGTTATTAGCCTCAGAAAAGTTATCATCTTCAAACTCATCACATCCATCAGATTCGAGAAAATCCGAGTCTTCAGAATCAACAGGATTCGGAATGTAAACAGCATCAACATCGTCCTTTTCTATGGCTTCTATTCTTTTTTTCTTCGTACGCGTTACTATCGTTGAATCAATAGCGCGTTTTTTCGTAGGATCAGGCTACAAATAGGATCACTTTTCCTTTTTCTATGCATATTTCTTAGGTATTCAAATTTTTTGAAAATCAAGAAAATATACGATACACTCTATACCGGTATTTACAAGCATTGAGAGCGCAAGTCCGCTGGGATGGTCCTTTACATACGGTTAACAAATAAGACAGTAATTTGTATGTTGCACAAAAATTATGTAACACAAAACAAAAAGGTGATTGACAAATTCAATAATTTTATCATTTAGGAGTATTGCCAAAAGCTATTGATATACAATACGTGAAATCATTAACTGGCATCATATAAATACAAGAATACATCAAGGTTCCTTGCGGTTTGAAACTTGAAATTTTTTCTCAAAAACCATGCACTTTACGAAAGATTTTCTGAGAATAGAAATGTCTTAAAAACAAACAAAGAACGCTTTCAAATTTTTTCAGAATTTTCGGACGTAATTTTTGAATTCTCAATTCAGAGACTTTTCCGAAATCCCAAAATTTTCTCGGATGATTATGAAAAAATTTAAGAGTATTTTATAACTAATTATAAGACATTTTTGTTCTTTGAAAATTTTCATGAAAATCTATAGTATTCGAGAAAAAAATTTGTAAAGTTTTAGATAAAAAATTTTCACTTCAGCCGCCATTTTGTTTATACGAAAAATTTTCACATCCGGAGAACCATACTAACTTGTAGTTAAAACCTCGAGGCCGCGACCTATAAGGGTTTTAGGCATTAAAAAAAATTCTTAGGGAACGAAAAGTCGATTTAAAAAAAAATGAAATCAGAAAATCATGTTTTTTTTATTTATTTTTGATTTTTGGACCGTAAAAGTTTTTCAGCGACAATTTTAACCAGCATCATTGGAAAGAGGACACTCGAAAACATAAGAAACAATTGTTTCTGAATTTTTTCCACGAGAATTCATGACATGAGAATAGTTCAAACTCAGGTCTCGAAAAACCGACCTGTGAGCGTTAATGGGTTAAACAGGGGAATAAGCAAAATTGATATCTTTTAGCTCTAATTTGTTATTAACCACTAAATTTTTTTATATTTTCGCATATAATTATTTATTGCCATGTGTTTGGTCGAGTTGCCCGGCCTCGCGCGGCTCGAGCCCAGGCTCCCCCCTTCCTCTATCCCCCGCCATTTGTTATTAGCTACTTCTTTTTTTAGTTTTTTGCATAACATTATTGAATGTCATATAAAGAACTGGTGTACAAAGTTTGAGCCCGCGGAACAATAGGCAACTATCTCTACTACCCTCTCTCCCTCTCTCTCACTCTCTTCTTTCACTCTATTACTCGCGTGCGCGCTCTTCTTCAGTCGACTCTCTCTCTCGCTCTCTCTCTCTCTCTTCGTTCACTCTATCACTCGCGTGCACGCTGTTCTTCGGTTAACTCTCTCTCTCTCTTTTCTGTCTTTCACTCGCATGCGCGCTATTCTTCAGTCAACTCTCTCTCTCTACAGTTGTCACATAACCTGTTCCATCTCAATCTGAATGTACCTGAGACTTCAGCAGCCACTGGTATCATCTGGCATCATTTCGCACTACATAGATTTCTCCTGCACATCGGATTCCTGCAACATCGGCTACTAAAGAACACATTGTCATCGCCTACGCACCGCTTTAGTGAGAAACATCAAAAATTTAATTTAATAATTATCGCCCCGTTATCCGGCTGTGCCCTTAATCAATTTCTCCTGTATCCGTCATCGTTGCCTCTTCGATTGAGTGATTTGTTTTGTTGTTTCTGTTAGCCATCTGACAATTTATTATTAAGCGACCTATTTCAAGTACTCATAATTCCGAGCGCCATTTATGTTCAGTTCCTCCGCTAATTAATATTCCCGCTAATTTTTCCAATTTTCCCGCGAAATTAGAAATATCTTGCATTTCATGTAACTGCGGGTAGGAGTCACGAAACTCGTTTACTCTTGTTCGCGCCAAATTTTCTATGTATCACATTAATACTATCTTGACCATTTCGACTACGTTAATTCGCTCTTTCCTCTCCAGTTTATTTACTTGTTGAGTTTAACGTAGTTCGACTCCCTCTTAATCCTCTAAACCTTAAACCTGTAATCCCTTACGATTTCTTAATGTCAATTAGAGACTGTGCTAAGTGTTACCTTCCATTACGACGACTCGACAGATCTCTTTTGTGCGGCTCCTGTAATTCGCTTTACCACCTTAACTGTATATCCCCAAATTCTAGGCCGGTATCCAAAACTACTGAATTTATATGTTGTGCTGACTCGTCACCTTCCAACCAATTACCGATCGCCAATACAGCTGCGCTATTCGCCACGCCTACCGGACACTCTCCATCTATACTCGTCCGGACCAAGAAACGCCTAGCCTCGCCTACTCAGCCGTTATTGTCGTCGGTAACCAAACACCACTGTACTGCGCCTCTTCATTCGTCACCTGAGTCCTCTGTTCCTGCAACCAACGTTTTCGCTGCGAATCAGTACCACCTTCAATCGTCGTCGCACTCAATCTCACATCAAGGCGTAGATCGCTCTACCACCATGGCGGATGCACCTGAGTGGTTCAAACAAGAGGCCCAACTAAATGCCGGCAGACATCAAGAGATGCGCGATTTGTGGTCCCAATTGCGCATGGAGCACCAGGTCAGGGATGCTCTCTTTGCAGTCACAGATGAGCCGGAACTTCTCGTCCACGGTCTTCCCTCTGACTATCAAGGCACACTCTTCCAAGCAGCAACTTCACTGCTTGTTACGCTCGGTTTTGGCGGGATGCACAATCTGCCGCAAATCATACATACGCGTGATTGGAGCCATTCTTCTGTCACTTCCCAAAGCTCTTTATCACTTCCCGGCGCTGCTCGTCGGTCTACTCGCTCATTCGCTTTTCTTGTGGACTCTCCATCAATCAGGGATAGGATTCTGCGTTTCTCGCCGAAGTTAAAGGAGCACACTGCCCAGTCCATCTTTGGTACCGGTGGACCGACGAGAGTCTACGTTCGCCCCATATGGCCGAAGCCGGTCTTCGAACTTCTCACAAAGGCGAGAAAGGTTAGTGCTGAGCTTGGTTATGCCTGGCCAGTGGTCCGTAATCTGAGAGTGTTCTGCAGGCAGACTCAGCGCTCCGAGCTGATCCCCATTTTAACTGAGGCTGACTTACGCGGGCTCGTGCCTCTCCAACGCGTGACACCCTCTGCCGTGAGGCCACCCACTCAGCATACTCATACTCACAGACGATTGTCCCGCTTACCCTCTTAGCCCCATCAAATTAATACCAACCAAATCTGACATACACTGAAATCCAACAATTTAACTGAGTCAAACTTATCTTTCACTGCTGCGCACGTCAATATTAATGGATTAAATGTACCCTCTCATTTCTCTCTTCTTGAGGCTGAAGTCCTGACCGTCCCTTACGACCTAATAGCTATTTCCGAAACCAAACTTAACGAATTTGTATCAGATGCTCACCTTGCTCTTCCGGATTACAATTTTGTACGACATGATCGTGTGGGCAAGCATTTATCACCAACTACTCAACTAACATCTTACAGTTTGCTCAATCTAATTCACCCTTTGTTCCTTATCATGACTTAATCGCTGTCTCAATCTCAGCTACATACATCAAAAATACCATGAAAACTTTTTCCTCCCGTCCTCTCCAACACATTGATCCCTCAGCCCTTAATTTGATAATCGACACTAATCTCTCAGTTTTCTCCTCGGGACCTTTACCGGGCCTCTCACACTCACTTGATCAGCTTGAATCTATCTTTACTCTCAATGTACTTGCTGCTTTTGATCAGCTTGCCCCACCTCGCAAGATCACTATCCCATCCATGAAAAAGCCCTGGGTCTCTGGGAAGCTACGATCCAAGATGCGCACACGTGATCATCTTTTCCTTCGCTACAAAAAGACAGGTTCTATTGAAGTACTTTCCCAATACCGGTTACTTCGTAATCAAATCTCAAATTCCCTAGACACTGCAAAGAATTCCTTCATTCATGACACCATCCACAATGCAAAGTCTATCACACACAAATGGGGAGCCCTCTGGGACATGGGTGTAGCTTCCAACCCTCTTCCTTCTCCACTACTCCTCTTTTCCCCTGATATTCTAAACATTTACTACGTTTCAGTTGCCTCTCGTCATCCTGCTCTAACTAAACAAGCTTTCGATGACATAATTAATGCTCCTATATTCGAACCGATTCCTGCTCATTTTCCACAATCCTTCACCTTCTCTACTGTCTCCCAGCGTGAAGTTGAGTTCGAGGTCATTGCCCTTCGCTCCAAAGGCAAAGGAAACGATGGCCTCTCCTCCCGAATGCTAAAGCTTGGTCTTAGTTCTCTAGCTCCCTTCCTCACACTTATAATAAACCAATCCATCCTCACTTCAGTCTTTCCCTCAGCCTGGAAACGCACTATCATCTGCCCTCTCTCAAAAACTAAATCACCCCAGTCTCCCTCTGATACACGGCCGATAGCTCAGCTTTGCGAGTCCTCTAAGGTCCTGGAGCGCTTACTTCACAAGCAACTCTTGAACTATCTGGAGGCCAGCAATTTCTTTGACCCAAGACAGGCTGGATTTCGCAGGGGGCACTCAACTGAGACCGCTCTGATTGGTCTGTTGGTGGATATCAGACGTGCTGTTGAGATGCGTCAGCTCACGATCCTTGTCTTGTTTGACTTCTCCAAAGCGTTTGACAGTATTCCCCATGACCTGCTTGTCCGGAAGCTGCGGGCCTGTAACCTGGCTGACTCAGCTCTTCGCTAGTTTTTTAGCTATCTGTCGGGTCGGTCGCAGGCTGTGGTTGATCGGGCGGGCTCATTGTCTGACTGGCTGCGTGTCTGTTCAGGAGTGCCCCAGGGCAGCGTTCTTGGACCTCTTCTATTTTCCATTTTCATTAATGATCTTCCCAAGGTACTGCATTTCTGTCAGCATATGATATATGCTGACGACACCCAAATTTATCATCATTGCTCTTCCTCTGAAATTATTCCAGCCCTCA